GATTCTCTGGTCCATTTAAATGAAATAAATACGGTATATCAGCATTCCATTGATTTTACTTTATTGATATAAGTTTTTTTTACTATTTTATTTAAAGATTCTTTATTAGTTTAATTTAAAACAGCTAAAGCATTAATTTGTTGACTTAAAAAACAATTTCCATAATAGCGGCTGATATCTTTTGTTGACAGTTCAGCTTCTTTGAACTGGTAATAAACCAAAACTTTTACATATTTGTCAATATGCCATTTTAAAATAACGATATAAAGATGATATGGATATGTCATCATTTTTATATATTTTTATCATCATGTTTAAGCCAATCAACATTTTCAAGTTGTTAATTTCCAACCATTTTTACAACGACTAATTTAGCTTACATAGGCGTTTTGTTTTCATTTAATATCTTTAAGGCATTTTATGATATACTAACCATGATCAAAAAAACATAACTTTAAGGTTAAACAAGGAATTAGTCACCTACTTATATTAGTCACTCACACATATATTAGTCAAATACTGGTTTGCAATATATCAGATAACATTTATTTTTTCTGCATCTTTGAAAACTAAAGCACAACTTTACAAGCTAAATTTAACAAAGATAGGCTAAGAAAAATGAATTGCTCGAAGAATTCTTTGGCAGGCACACCATAGCAAATTATCAATTAAATTAATTCTTTAAGCTGCCACTTTCTTTTTAAAAAATCATGATAAATTTGTATATAATTAAGGAAATTTGTGTTAAATATCTTTGAAACAAATTTTTCAGAAATATATGTAATTATGAATATGATTTGTTTGTCTCAAAGATTGGTGCAAAAAGTTATTTTTATCAATATATACATTATCATCCAAAACGACAGATACACTTTTCGCAGAAATAATTGCATTCCATTACATTTTTCCAAGGAGGTTTAATAAACAGGAGACGGTGTCACGTGACTTTTTTGAAGCCAGTTTTTAAAACGGCCGCCATCTTGGTTAACCCAAAACATTACACGGAACTTAAAATCTTACTAAAAAGTTTATTAAATTCTAGACAAATGATTGCACCAAATAGTTGAATTATTCGTCACTTTATGTTTGGCAGCTTATACTATCTTACTAAGAATTATTTGCTAACTGATTGCCTTTTTCTGTTTATTCTAATAACATTTGGAATACTGAAATAGACATTCAGATAGCTATATTTTTTCACGATACTAGAAGATATTGTTTTTCTAAAATAAGACCAAATGTTTGTGAGTTTTAATCTATATTTAAACAATTAAAAATAAATATAAATTTACAAGTTTGTGTGTTTATATATGTATGTATATATATATATATATATATATATATATATATATATATATATATATATATATATATATATATATATATATATATATATATATATATATGTATATATATATATATATATATATATATATATATATATATATATATATATATATATATATATATATATATATATATATATATATATATATATATATATATATATATATATATATATATATATATATATATATATAATATATATATGTGTGTGTGTGTGTGTGTGTGTGTGTATTATATGTATAATATGTATATATACAAATATCATAAATATATATATATATATATATATATATATATTATATATATATATATATATATATATATATATATATGTATATATATATATATATATATATATATATATATATATATATATATATATACATGTGTCTAAGATATATTGTTTATATATATATTCGTCATTATTAATATAAATTTTTACAACATTTTACCATGAAATATATGACTGGAGCAAGTAGACAATAGTCTCATCATCTTCCCCATTTTAGTCGTTGACAAAATATATATATAAATTGACAAGATATATAAATATCTATATATATATATATATATATATATATATATATATATAATATATATATATATATATATATATATATATATATATACCTAATATATGTTGACAAGATATACATATATATATATATATATATATATATATATATATATACATATATATATATATATATATATATATACATATATTATATATATATATGTACATGTAAAATGTATATATACATATATATATATATATATATATATATATATATATATATATATATATATATATATATATATATATATATAGTATATATATATATATATTGTATATATATATATATATTTGAATAATTTTAAATGTATTCCACAAAAAGCGTTCTTCAGAGAACTGAGCAATTATTTAATAAATACATATTTATTAAATAATTTTTTTTTTTGACTTTACATGATTTATACTGAGTGTAGGCTAAAAAGTTGATAAAAAGATATAACTTGACAAGACTTGTTTTGCCTATGGATGCAAGAGATTGTGCTGATGGCATTACTTCTGCAGAAACGTTACGCTACACCAAGCAAGAAAATTCACTAAGTAATAATATATATATCATTAAAATATATTCTGTAAAATATTGACTAATATAATAACGAAATCACTAGAGTAATAGCATATATGGTATTACTATGGTGTTTTTTTTTATTAGTCAATATTTTTATAGAATTCCGTCAAAAATAAAATATTAGGAATTAAAAAAATTTGATAACTGGTCTATGTAGAGAAAACTTTACTGGTCCTCATAAATGAGCAGTTGTGTTCAAAGAAGAAGAAGTACTAAATCAGCTTTAAATACAGAAGCTGATATGGATGGAACTAGGTCCTCATGTGTTCAGTAATTCAGTATGGTGCTATACCAGGCACTTTTGAAGCACCAAAGTAATAGCATACTTAGTTTCTTACTAGTTTTATTACTAACTTTTGATATTTTCTTACTGTAATTTAGCTAAGATCATATAGATCTGTTACTTTATAGTGAGTTGACAGTTGCACAAAAAGATAGTAATTTTTACAGTTCAAAAAGATAATAGAAGAAATTAATTTAAGCTAAACTATGTGCATCTCCATAAAACTGTTTTTATATATATGTATATATATATATATATATATATATATATATATATATATATATATATATATATATATATATATATATATATATATTTATATATATATATACATATATATATATATATATATATACATAAATGTGTATATATACACATAATAAATAAGATATTGAAAGTTAAATATGTATATTTAATACATTTTTTTATTTATGTTTACATTTAATTGTGTTAAACTTTAATAAAAAACTCACAAACATTTTTTTTCATTCCATAAGATGTTCACACTTTGTAAAATATGTCTAAAAAATGTCTTACATCTTCTAAAAGTGTGTTTATTATCTGAATGTCTACTTCAGTATTCCAATATTTTGGAATAAACTGAACCCGATAATCAGTTAGCAAACAATTCTTTGTAGTTTATTACAACCTCGGAAACAACTGGCAAATTATTTAATCATTTATATCTATACTTTTACTTGTTTTCAGCAATGTTTTCTCTTAAAATATAAATTTCCGCGCAAAACATAACAATGTTTTGGGTTAACCAAGATGGCGGCTGACTTTCAAAACTGGCTTCATCGCGTTTTATATAAAGTATATACTACGGCGTCTCCTGTTTATTAAACCTCCTTGCATTTTTCGCAGAAAAACTTGATGCCGACCTGAAGAGGCAACTGATAGAGATTTTTTTTTTGCGAAAACGCACAGTGAATCGACTCATACAATCTAGCTGGACAAAAGACAATTCAAGGAATCAATTAATAGATATTCCCATGATATTACTGAATACTCCCAAGGGAAAAATTCAAAATATTAATTAGTGCACCCGATTTTAAGTGTTAAATTATTAGCGCTCAAGTGTTACTTAAAGATAAACATATTTTTTTTAAAGAAAATAGCTGCAATTTTGCTGTGTAACAATAACATATAACTAATTTATTGTGAATAATAATTAACTCTGCTGTCATGAATTTTACTTTAGAAGGTATGAACTTTGTATTTTATTGAAAACTTATTTAAAATAATTGGCAAAAATGATAATTCTATAGATTTAAAAAAACAATATAAAAATTGCAATTTCTTTTTCGTTTTTTAATTTTAAAAGCGTTGTAACTAATTTTATCCAAGTATATCCAAGCTGATTTTTTTATATATTATAACCACAACAATAAGTTGTCTAAATATAAAAGATTTGGCTGCCCTTATTTGCCCATTTCATTTTTATTTAACTTTTTTCAGACCGAGTGTATTCTATTAAAAAACTGGAGTTATTTGAAGTATGGAAAAAACATACAACGGAAGAAAGAAATTCTCTTTTGTTTGATTTTATATTGAAAGACTATATTACGGAAGATGTTACAAGTGATTCGAAAAAAAAAAATACAGTTAAAAGTTGCAAGCATATCCGCTAAATTTGCGCAAAAGTGGAATGCAGCCAATAGAAATATTGATATATTTTTAAAGAAAAATAAAAGTTGGTTAGAGGGCAATAATTTAGAATTTAAAATAAGTTTGCATCGGTCCTGTGCTTCCATAACATCTGAAGGAAATTTGTGGTACCAGGCAGTTAAGTAACGATGAGGCACTTGCCTATTATGTAGATTCAAAGTGTACTAGTCACTCTTATAAAAAAACAAGAAAGTGGTCGTTAAAAGCAGGGCATGAAGTATTTCCGTCTCACTATAATTTATGTAAATCCAAAAGGTTGTGTTACCCTCCTGAAGAATTTATTTCTATCTCAGAAACACGAGCTGAAATTAAACTTCAAGCCATATTGAATAAAACAATTGAACGCTTAATTGAAACAATAAGTCGATTTTCCGAAAACGCATCCTCTAATTTGTCGCTTACATTAATAAGCAAATGGGGATGTGACGGAAGTTCTGGCCACAGTACCTATAAATAAAGATTTGAGAACTCCGATGATAATGATGAATTTCTTTTTGTGTTTGCGTTTGTCTCGTTGAGATTGAGTGATGACTCTAATACTCTTATTTGGCAAAATCCTCGGCCATCGTCAACACTTTATTGCCGACCAATTAAATTTATATTTTCAAAAGAAACACAGGAATTTACTGTAATAGAAACAGACAAAGTTTTGAAAGAAATATCTAAACTTCTTCCAACACTGAGTACTGTTGGCGAATTTAAATTCACTGTGAAGCACAATCTGTTACTTAAAATGACAGACGCAAAAGTTTGTAATGCTTTAACCGATACGCGCTCTACACAAAAATGTTATATTTGTGGTGCTACTCCAAAAATGATGAATGACGAATTAAAAGGTATGGTTGATAAAAAAGAAAATTACAATTTTGGTTTGTCTACTTTGCATGCATGGATACGTACATTTGAATGCTTGCTACACATTAGTTACCGTTTAGACATTAAAAAGAGGATATAAACGACGAGTTTTCTGATAACTAATTATAAAATTTATTGTATAATATTATGTATTCTTGCTTTACAAATATATTTATTACTTCTATTTTTATTATAACAGTGGTTGCTGCAATGAGGGGAAATAGGGGGGGGGGTAGTAGTAGTTAAAGGGTAGGGTCCCTTATCCTCCGCAAATAAAAACGTATAATTTATTAAACTCAAGTTAATTATTCAATAAAACAACAAAATATTATTTATTTCAACCTTTCATGACTAGAAAAATCGAATTCGTGAACAAAACATTTTTGCCCAGCTAGATTGTATGAGTCGATTCACTGTGAAACGGTGGTAATTTTTTTTTCTTTTACATATTATCATGGAAGTATTAGAGAAGTATTATCTCTAATACTTCCATGATATTATTAATGACGAACCTAAAGAAAATCGCTATATTATCGGCGGCGTTAAATGGTAAAAATTTAATTCTTTGTTTTTATTTTTTATTTGTTTACAGCTGCAAGCAACTACAATTAAGTTGAGTTACTAAAAAGAAAAAAAAGTTGAAAGTTGAAGAAGCAAGGAAACTGCTGACAGAATACTAGATTAATTGTAAGTTATTTCAGTCAGGATAACACGAAGATGGAAGAGAGTTCCAAAGAGTTAAAGTGCCTGGAAAAAATAAGATAAACAAACGTTTTTAGAGCATGCAAAGACAGAACAAGTAAAAGTATGAGACTTTGCTGAATAACGAGTCAAGCGAAAATAATTTTTAGTTGATAAAACTAGAGATGATGGCTCTTTTGAGCAGAGACTAT